GACTTGGTCCCTCCTGCCACTGCCCCGGTCCCCTGTCTGCCAGTGATCCTGCTCCCGCACACTGATGGAGCAATTGGGGCCGGCACCAGGAGCAGGTGCTAGTGGAGTCTGCTGCCCTGATCACCCCTCAGGAGCAGGGGGAGGTGGAGAAGCCCCCAGGGACAATTGGGGCTGGCAGCTACCACTCATACCCACTGACAATGATGAACAATCAGGGCCAGCACTAGCAGTGGGTGCGAGTGGTGTCTTCAGCGCTGGCAGGAGTGAGTGCTGGGCAGGACCGTGGCACACAGGAGCAAAGAATTTTCAGTAACCACTTAGTCAGGCTCATCCTGATGACAGCAACTGCCACCTCACCTTGGTCTGGCTGCCCCAGTCACCTGCTCCACCATCCCACCACGGCCAATGCCCACCATGTTTCACACTCTTCTGCTGATGCCTGTCATTTTTGCATGCGCCCCCTAGTGGTCAGCACACATCATAGTGACTGGTTGTTTTGTTGTTCTGCTGTTCTTTTTATTTGCACATTAGCCTTTTAATATAGGCTAGGATGTGAAGTAATTGAAGGAACTTTAAAATGAACAGGCTAAAGAAAAACTAGGAGGAAATTTTTGTTATCTTAAAAAAGACAAGTGGAAAGAGCTACAAAAACACTTAATTCATATGTCCTATTAAATCAGTCTTTTTCCATGAAGTGTTGAGTATTTCCCCACATAAGTATTGAACGTGAATATAGTTTACAATAGGTTTGGGGACAGCTGTGTTTTCCATTTGTAAGCATGTTGATTTACATTGATATTGGATTGTACTAAACAAATAGGTGGTTATATTTGAAAGCTGTTTTATACAAACAGTATGCTCTATTGGAGGAGATAAGGTTTTATTAATCATTGCAAATAAGACTACTTCTGGGTAGTTTATTATATTTCTTTAAAGATTATCAAGTGACCTTATTGTATGGACAGATGGCTTGTTTTCTAAATGAATGATGTGCGAATTCTCTTTCATAAATTGAGCATCACTAAGAAAATATTGTTAGAATTCTAAGTAGGAAACCATTGAGCATAAGAAAGTAGGTATCATGAAATAGAGATTTAATTTTTGTGATGCTATTTCATTTGTTAAATTTGAGGAAACTTGCATATTCTTCAGAATTGACAATTTCTATAAGATAAAAATGATATATGTTCAGAAATCATCATGAGCTAAATATTTTTTGCCCAATTAAAGAGAACATCAGAAAGTTATAAAGAAGATTGCAAAAGTCAATCATAATCTCACTACTCAGAGAAACCACTATTAACTTTTTAAATAACTTTGTAAATCTAAGCATACACACTGTTTACAGGGTATGCTTATGGTTCTGTCTCCATATACATGTGTCATTGTTTTTATGTCTGCATCATATCTCATTGTGTATCATAATTTATTTAACCAATCACTCATTGATGAACATTTAGACTTTTTGCAACTTTTATGTGTTGTAAAGAAATTTATAATGTCAATGTGTGTATATTCATGCATATTTATTTTTTGTCGTGGTGTGGCACACTTTGAGTTAATTTATTGGGGTGACATTAGTAAGATTATATTAAATATATTAGATTTTGTGGACCAATCACTGTCACAATTACTCAACTCAGCTGTTTTAACTTCTGAAATAGCCAGAGACAACAGACAAGCAAATGAATGTGGGTGTTTTCCAACAAAACTTCTTTAAAAAGAGCCCACAGCCCTGGCTCGGTGGCTTGGTTAGTTGGCATGTTGTCCTGTACACCAAAATATTGCGGTTCAATTCCCTGTTAGGGCACACACCTAGGTTGTGGTTTTGATCCTCAGATGGGGCAACTGATCCATATCCCTCTCCCCCTCCCCCTCCCCCTCCCCCTCTCCCTCTCTCTCATTGTCCAATGAATTTTTAAAATGAATGCAGCCCATTCTATGGGCTCCTCTATGCATCCTTCAATGTTAAATTTGTTTTTTAGGAATGTCTTCTCTGCTCTATACATGTTAGGTGACTCCTGTTAAACCACACAAGTATTATCATAATTATTTGTTCATGCCTAGCTTTCCTGCTAAGCCAGGGAAGCTCATCTGTGATGTTCACAGCTCTATTTCCCACACCAGCACACAGTGCCTAAGCGTTTGAATGAGTAGATCAAGTAGTGCATTTCTATCCATGACTTTTTTTTTTTAATAGCTTTGCTCTGGGTTACGTTAAAGTGTGTTTCTTAGATCAACATTAGTTTTTTCTGAAAATGTTGCTACCAGTTTGTGGATAGATGTTATAGAATACACCGATGTGTCTGACGGTCATGGGCATCTTTCTTTATTGTAATATATTGAGAATTTTGATAGGAAAGAGATTTACTTTATAGGCCAGGAAGACTGGGAATGGTTATCTGCATTTAAAAGCCTACTGATAAAAGTTCAATTTTATACTGGCATCAGGTACATATGTATTCAGATTACTGTGTTATTTCTCCATCCCCTACCAAAATAGTCCTCATGATGTCTTTTTCAGAAATTAATTTAATGAAAGAATGCTCAACAGTATACCTGGACACAGTAATTTCAGGTCTTTCACTTAACGGTTCTTTTTGTGTTGTTGTTGTTTCTCAATGTAACAAGCTTGTATAAGAGAGAACAGTTTGTAAAAGAGTTATATTGATGTTATTAAAATACATCCTCTTTTGTCTATTGTATAAAATTATGTCAATGTTAGGAAGGGATTGAAAAATCAATGTTTTTCCCCCCAGGTGAAAATAAGGTATCCTACCTGGGTCCAAGAAAGACTAAAAGGGTTATCAGAGTATCTGAGAGCTCTTAAAGGCTATCTTGGTGTTTTCACTAAATTGCTCTTCACACGAGAGATGTGCCTATAGCTAGAAGTTTTAACCTGTGACTGGCGTTATTGGTGAAGTTAAATGCAGGCTGTCTGCAATCTTGTATGTATTGACTTGTGGTTCGGCTCTTGTAATTGCTGCTTAGTATGTCAGAAATTCTTCACAATTGATAAGCTTTTTAACCTATGTTGTATCAAAAATATTAGACATGGTAATTTTACTCCAATAGAAAGCTACCTTTTGGTTTCAACAAAATTAACACAGGATAAGCCACAGAGAAAATACTTTACATCCTTTATAGTGTATTTTACCTTTATAATGTTTTGGTAGCTTTCTAGTTTGACAAATACAGCACTTTGAGTTTAATGAGATTTTGTATGTATCACTTGCCTCCTATACATGCCCCAACTGAGGATCAAAACCACATCCTAGGCGTGTGCCCTGACAGGGAACTGAACCGCAATCTTTTGGTGTACAGGACACATGCCAACTAACCAAGCCACCCAACCAGGGCTGTGGGCTCTTTTTAAAGAAGTTTTATTGGAAAACACCCACACTCATTTGCTTGTTTGTTGTCTCTGGCTACTTCAGAAGTTAAAACAGCTGAGTTGAGTAATTTTGTATGAAGCAGTGTATCAAAGTGCCTGGTAAGATAGAACCTGTTTGAAACAGATACCAACTAAAACTAGCTTAAGCAAAAAAGGGATATTTATTCTGAAGATACCATGGTAGTTTCTTGGGCACCATGGATGTTATCAGGACCACTGTATGAGGTTCTGTGGATTAGGCTCTGCATAGCTTTATTGTTGAAAGAAAACAAAACCTTCAAGAAAAACAAAAGGCTATATAAGACAAAAAATGAGCTACAAGCAATATTTAGTCATTTTTAGCCTTTAGAATCAGTCTACCTTGATGGCTTAATTAGAATTAGAACATAAATAAAATGGCTATCAACTTTTGATGGTAGAGTTTAGAAAGTATTATAGAATGTGCAGAGAGGTGACAGGGGAAGAGCAGAAGTCCTAATATCAAGAGGGATATTGTCTAGCCGAAACTGGTTTGGCTCAGTGGATAGAGCGTCGGCCTGCAGACTGAAAGGTCCCGGGTTCGATTCCGGTCAAGGGCATGTACCTCGATTGCAGGCATGTACCTCGATTGCGGGCACATCCCCAGTAGGGGGTGTGCAAGAGGCAGCTGATCGATGTTTCTCTGTCATCGATGTTTCTAACTCTCTATTCCTCTCTCTTCCTCTCTGTAATAAAAAAATCAATAAAATATATTTTTTTAAAAAGAGGGATATTGTCTATAGTTAATGAAATAAGACATAGGGATATATAGTATTAAAGTTATAGAGATGTAGAAGAACTAAAAACAGCAATGTAACTCTACTATAATTTGGGATAAGGAGAATGGGCTAACATCCTAATCTGTTATAAGAAGAAGTCAACAGATACTCTTAAACTTTTATATATTCAGAACTGATTCATTATACAGAGGGAAAAACGTTAATCTCTACAACAATTAAAAACAGAAACAAAGTTTAAAGGTGGTTGCTCTAGCATTGGAGTGGAGGGTTTAAGTATATTGGAAAACTAAGGGCTATCTGAATGACTTAGCAGTGACCTGTATACTTCTGTATCTTAAGACAAAATATGGCATATTCAAGATTTTGTTGCTTTGTTTTTAATAGCTTTAGTAAGATATAATTTAAATACAGTAAGTTCACTAACTGTGCAGTTGGTGAATTTTGATAATTGTGTATAGTTATATAACCTTCACCCCAATCAAGGTATAGAATTATTTCTTTCACCTTGAAAGCTTTGTGCTATTTGCCTTCAATATTCAGTCCCCCCAACCTCTTGTCCTTGGTAAATACTCATCTGCTTCCTATCACTTTAATTTTGCTTTTCTAGAATTTACTACAAATTGAATCCTAGAGTATTTCGTCTTTTATATTTGACTCATTTCATTCAGTACACCTTTGAGATGTATGTGTGTTGTGTGTATTGTCACAACAAAGAGTTTCCTTCTCCTTTGTCTGTAATAGTCACTGTGATACAACAGTCAGCATCAATCTTAATGCTCTCAGTGTGTGCATGTTTCCTCTCTCTACTGTGAATCCATTAAATGTCTTCATTTTTTTCTTTTTCAAAGGTTGAATTAATTAAGGGGAATTTACAAAGCGTTGGACTTACACTTCGTCTTGTCCAGTCAACTGACGGGTATGCTGGGCACGTCATCATTGAGACTGTGGCCCCAAACTCACCTGCTGCACTTGCTGATCTTCAGCGCGGAGATCGATTGATTGCCATTGGAGGTAATTATGTTAATATGCAGTATGGTTTACATTTACAGAGAAAGCAGAGAGCAGATGTGGGAGTTCTCCTCTCTCCTTTATTTTCATAAGCACATTACTTTTATAATGGGAAGAAAGTAGTAACTTTATTATAAAAATCTGAAGGAAGCCTTAACATTTAATTTAAAACACATATGCCATATGACACTTAGGATAGCAAAGCCATAAAATAAACCTCAGCTGTTACTTGTTTGACATAAACATGTTACTCTTTCTCATCTGAAAACCACAAGTCAGTATACATTTTTTTAATATTCAGACACCCTGTGTTGGTTTTACCTACAGAATAATTTTTTTTTTATTTTTTTTATTTTATTTTTTTTTTTAGAGAGAGAGAGAGTAGAAGGGGCGGGGATCAATGTGAGAGAGATACATGGATGGATTGTTTCTCACACATGCCCCAACTGAACTGGGGATCAAACCTACAATCTAGGTACATGCCCTTGTCTGAGAATTTAGCCTGCAACCCTTCAGTGTGCAGGCTGATGCTCTAACCCTTGAGTATACTGACTAAGGCATAAAATTTTTTTCTTACTTTTTTGAAAGGTTTTTGTTGTTAATTACACAAGTAGTAAATATTATCAAAAATAAGTCTAAGCACTATAAATGTATGCTGAGTGGAAAAATATACCATTTGTAAAAATATATTTATTGCAATAATGAGGTGTGATATAAATACATTAATTTTTATAGCTATAATTCATTTATGTGGTTCTATAATAATTTTTTAAGTATTTAGTAACAAGATTGGTGACAGTTGAAATAAGATTAACAAAATGTTAGCTATATTTGAAACTCAATAATGGAGTTCATTTTACTATTTCCTCTACTTTTGCATATGTTAGAAATATTATAAAAGAAAAGGAATCCCACCTTGGCCAGTTTGGCTTGGTAGTTAGTGCTGGCCCTCGGACTAAAAGGTTCAAGTTCGATTCTTGGTCAAGGGCATGTACCTGGGTTGCAGACCTCATCCTGGCCTGGGTCGGTGTGTGTTGGGACTCCCTCTCCCTCTCCCTCTCCCTCTCCCTCTCCCTCTCCTTCTCCCTCTCCCCCTCCTTCCCTAAAAATCTCTCTAAAAGTCAGTGGAAAAAAAATATCCTCAGGTGAGGATTAACCAAGTGAACTGGAACTTTGACAGAACTGACAGCTGAGTAGGGAGTCTACTCTCTGGATTTGTGTCAGGTGAACAGAGGGTGGCACGTTTATTCTAACATAGTAGTGAAGACAGGAGCATGCGAAGGTCAAAGAAGATTTTTAACTACAGTGACTTTGTAATGTCAAAGGAACATCAAGGTGTTGATACCCAGAGGTAGTTGGGAATGTAGGACAAGAGGGAAGACCAAGGAAAAGGTGATAGCTAAAATTCCTGAAATGGATATATTCAGGAGGAGAGCAAAAAGCAGAGAAAACTAAACAAGGGGCAGATTAGGTGGCAAAAAAGTGGAGAAGAGGTCATCTGAGCCCAGTTAGTGTCATGAAAATGGGTTTAAAGCACAAGGAAGGGAAAGTATGAGCAAGGATAATTGGTGGAACAAAGCGCTGAAGGAGATGGTTAGGGGGAGAGTGGGATCCAGAGAACAATGAAAGGGATACTCCTCTGAGATAGCTTAATGCTAACAATGACTGGCAGCAAGAAAAGGTGACTTATCTTTTCGGTAAATTCGGTGATGTCATCCACAGGAGAAGAAAGCAGGAAGGGTGAACTTGAAGGGAGTGGGAGAGGTTTGAAGCTGGTGTTTTAGAGACTCAGTTGTTTGGAGACCATTCAACAGAGTGCTAAGGCAGCCTTGAACACTATGCTGAAAACAGAGAGCATCATTTGAGGCTAGATCAGGTAGTCATCACAGGAGCAGAAAAGGGAAGTGGCAGGGCTAGCCGAGCTGGGAGTCAGAAAGGCAGGGAGATGTAGAAGAGGAAAGGTCCAGGGTAAGAGGATAGAAAACCTTGATGTGAACATCACTGAAATCTTGAGACTGAGGTCAAGGAGAAAAGCAAGTGCCATCAGGAGAACCAGCTGGGCCAGGAGAGCAAAGGAGGAGTGATTAGATCTGGAAATTACCTCGAAACAGATTCAGTGAGCAGACAGAATTGGCACAGGTGGAAAATAAAGATTGTGGCCAGAAATTAATTTCCAAGTGAAATATTTGTTGTGGTCAAGTTCCCAGTGATGACTAGGTCTAAAGCAAGGTCTTACCTGCGCAGCTGAAGTAGGAGAGGACATAGGCTGAGGAACTCTCAGTCAGGTTATTAGATGGGGCTGATGTTACTTTGATTTATTTAGGATGGCCCTAAGACCTTTGGAAAGCAAAGACCTGTCTCACCTTTCTCTAAGTCCTACAGAAAGGGAGAGCTTGGGTAAGTACTGTTTGGGGGAGGGTAGTGAAAGGGCAGGAAACAAATAGAGCCTGTAATGATACACCTAGAAGATCACTAGCTAGAAGAAAATACTAGAAGCTGCTGGTTCTGATTGCCTTGGGGAAGGAAGAGTTTTGCTAGGAGATAGAGGTGAAAGGGAGATTTTCTTCAGTATACATCTTTTGTATTCTTTGAATTTTGGATTACATTAATGTAGCACCTATTAGAAAATAGTAAAATGAAAACATAAGATAGATATTATCAATATAGGTACAGATAGTAGCCAACTTATTTAACTGTAAAGCAACTTATGCCTTCCTTATTCTTTCTGGTCCTGAAAAGGATTAGTTTAATGGGTAAAGCTCATAAAAAGAATCTGTAAAAGAGTACATTATTCATAATATAGTATTTTGCAGTTTATTTCAAACATCAGTCTCTTATTTTGACCCAATTGCTTGTAATCCCTGGTATATTTTGGGATTTCCTGCAATAAAATCAGTTTCCCATCATGCTAAGTCTGGTTTAACCATTAATAAATCCTTTTTATTAGGTGTCACTTTGCTCACTTTAAACTGAAAAAATAGTATTATTTAAATGTAAGAAGGAATGGGAAGCAATTAGGAGTTACCAGCTTGGCACCCTTCTAAGGATTTTCATCTCATCATTTGGTTTGAATATGTAAACATTTCTAGGATATCCAGGGTTTGAGAATCAGCACCCAGATGTATCCAAAAGCCAATCATATACTTTGGAGGTTTCCCTATTTTTCATTAAATACCATGAGTTAATGGCGATTACGTGTAGCCATTAAGGTAATTCTCATTGCAGTAATTTATTTTTACCTTTCAAAATTTTAAAACAGGTGTGAAAATCACATCCACGCTGCAGGTGCTGAAGCTCATCAAGCAGGCCGGCGACCGTGTGCTGGTGTACTACGAGAGGCCGGTGGGCCAGGCGCCTCCCAGCGCAGCACTGCAGGACCAGCTCAGCCAGCTGGAAGAACACTTTCTGTCAGGCTCGTGCCAGCCAAACTATGACGAGGACCCTGGGTTGGCAGGCGACACTGAGAGTAGAGACCTGGATTTGGAGTTTGAAGACTTGGCGAGTGATGTCAGAGCACAAAATGAGTTCAAAGATGAGGCACAATCTGCAAGTCATAGTCCCAAGCGTACTCCCACGACGCCTTCTGTTAGACCCCTTGGAACAGTATCACCCGTTTTAAATCGTAAATTAGTTACAGGAAGTCACCCACCACCACCCAAACTTCCATCCAAAGAAGGAAACAAACCCTTAGCCCCCAAACCTTCTGAGACAACAGACCCAGCACAAGTGTCAAAACCCACCCAGGGATTCAAACCACCCGTGCCACCACGACCGCAAGTGAAAGCTCCTTTGCCTTCTGCGGATGCCCCAGGTCAGGCGGAACCAGATGTTCTCGCTGAAAAGCCAGACAAGGTGCTGCCTCCTCCTCCTGCAGATAAACCTGCTGAAAAGCAAGCGAAACATGTGGATCACATGGAAGATGTCGCTGCATCTAAGCAGTCTTCAGCAAAGCAAGAAGTGGGGAAAGACTTGGCCTCAGAAAGTTCCTGCCCTTCCAAGGACAGTTCGGATGACCCTCAAACGTGGGAGTCTTCAGAAATTCACTATCGGAATAAGCTAGGAAAATGGGCAAGAGCCAGAGCCACCTGCTTCTTCGACATAGAAGCCTGCCACAGGTACTTAAACATCGCCCTGTGGTGCAGGGATCCTTTCAAGTTGGGGGGGCTCATCTGTTTGGGGCACGTGAGCCTGAAACTTGAAGAGGTGGCTTTAGGATGCCTCACGACATCCAACCTGGAGTACCTTTCCAAGTTCAGACTGGAAGCCCCAGCGCCCAAGGCCATGGTCACGAGAACCGCTCTCCGCAATCTGAGTATGCAAAAGGGATTCAACGACAAATTTTGCTTTGGTGACATTACTATCCACTTCAAGTATTTGAAGGAAGGAGAAGCGGACCACCATCTAGTTACTAACTTGGAGAAAGAAAAAGAACTTCATTTGGTCGAAGAGGTTTCTGCGCTGCCGAAAGAGGAGCCCTTAGTGGGACAGCTGGGCTTAACAGAAAACAAACACAGTTTCCAGGACACTCAGTTCCAGAACCCAACGTGGTGTGATTACTGCAAGAAAAAAGTCTGGACTAAAGCCGCTTCCCAGTGCATGATCTGTGCTTACGTTTGCCATAAAAAATGCCAGGAAAAGTGTCTCGCTGAGATTCCTCTCTGTGGAGCGACCGAGAGGCGGCTGGACCGGACCCTGAGAAACCTCAGGCTGGAAGGACAGGAGGCCCTCCTGGGCCTGTCTGCTCGTACTGATGCTGAAGTCGGCAAGTCCGTCACTAGAACCACAGGCCTGACCAGGCACATCATCAACACTAGCTCTCGTTTGTTAAACCTGCGCCAAGTCTCTAAAACTCGCCTTTCTGAAGCAGCAGCTGATCTAGTAGAACCTTCACCAAAACAAACACCCAACACGTCAGACAATGAAGGCAGCGACACAGAGATGTGTGGTCCAAACAGTCCTTCTAAACGGGGAAACAGCACAGGAATAAAGTTAGTGAGGAAGGAGGGCGGTCTGGATGACAGCGTCTTCATCGCAGTTAAAGAAATTGGCCGTGACCTGTACAGGGGCTTGCCGACAGAGGAGAGGATCCAGAAACTCGAGTTCATGCTGGATAAACTGCAGAATGAAATTGATCAGGAGTTGGAGCATAACAATTCCCTTCTTAGAGAAGAAAAGGAGACCACCGATACAAGGAAAAAATCTCTTCTTTCTGCCGCTTTGGGTAAATCTGGTGAAAGACTACAAGCTTTGACACTTCTTATGATCCACTACAGAGCAGGCATTGAAGATATCGAATCTTTAGAAAGTCTGACCTTAGACCAGCACCCAAAAAAAATAGGCAAGTACACAGATGACACAGAGGAAGACTTTGATAATGAAATAACACAACTAATAGACGCTCAGCCATTCAGCAGCATTTCAGATGACTTATTTGGCCCATCCGAGTCTGTATAACAGACCCATTTATTTAATCTTTCAAGCAATTGGGGGTGGGGGGGGTGTTTAAAGTACCACAGATATAACCATGTCTAAACCCCCTTATAATGCACTCTGGCCTGCTTCTCCACAGTTCCTTGCTTGTGTTAAGAGTGGAAAGGTTGTTCCGGCAAAAACATGACCAGCTCACTAAATTGGTTGTTTCGGATTGCATTTATAGCTATGCTTTTTGGGTTTATACTTGGAATTTATTTTTACTAATTTATTTTTAACTTTTCTAATTATGGAATTATGTAAGCTGACTTCATGTTTATGTATGTTGATGTCTCATGCTATTTTTTTTTTCTTTTTTGAATTAGTGTTAAATTGGATACTGTCCAGGTTCTTGTAATGTTTTTATTTCTATCACGGTTATAACAGATTGTTGCATGCCCAAATTGACTGCAACAACCACTGAGGGAACAGTTTTTGAATCTTACTTTGTGTTATGAAGTTTGTCATGCTACTTGAGATTTTTATTACTTTGGGGTCCTGGGGGTGCTTTTTGTTTTGTTTTTGCCAAATGTAACATGAAAGCAGACACTATGGCTTTAGTCAGTTAATGCTGATTTAGTTAAAAAAAAAAAAACTTTATATTAATATTGCTTGCTTCCTATGCCTCTGTGAAATTTTTTTCTAAAGCTTTTGTGCAGTTGAAGTAAAGTGAGAATACAGTGATTGATTTGAAGAGCTTGCACTGAAAATGAAAACAAAATGTATCAGAGTAAATATAGAATGCAGTTGGTAAAGAATTTTGTAGAGAGGGAACAGGATTATTAAAAAACAGCAACCAGTAGGATTTTGAAATATAATTTTTTCAAAATGTTGCTTTCCTATTAAATGGAAGTTCTAATCATTTATGATTAATTTTCATTTCCAGTTCTCCCATAGGAAATAAAGCATGTGCAAGGATGTTTAAAGTTTCAGAGGACTGTTCTTAAAATGACCGTGTTGATAACTGGTTTGGCTGTTTTTGTTTTAGAAACTTTTATGTAGGAGAATGTTGTGAAGGAGAATCATGCAAAATAGATTTACTGTTTTGTCTGACATCCTGCAGGCTTAAAGAATGGTGGCCATTCTGAATGCTTCTGTAATTCAGACTATCTTCATTCATTTAAAAAAAATTAAATAGAAGTAGACAGTATAGATACATAGGAATTGGGACTAGTTGTCTGAAAAGGAAGATCTACTCTCATACTTGGTCATCGTGTAGATCCCCGTAACACATGACTGAGGAAAACTGTGAGAATGACCTCTGTTGGTATTCCATAAAAGTTTTGGCCTTTTATTTGCCTATAAAAAGATACATCTCTGCATAATTTTCCCTTTGGTAGCTAACTACTACGATAATTGATATGTAGTAAAACTGACATGAATTTAAAACCAGATGGGATGGTTTGTATGGCTGGCAGAAAAAGCATTTTAATATGGATTCTGGCCCACATCTGTAGTCCAGGACTCCGTATAAGAGTTTAAGATCAAGCAAGCCACCAAAGGGCCGTGTCTCAGTTTCCCCAGCTCCAACATAGGAACAAACAAGGTTTAGGCTACCTCACAGGACTGTTGTGAGGGAAACAATAGTGTAACCAAGTGCTCTGCACAGTACAAAGCCATTCAAATAACAGGATGTATATGGGCCATAAAAACATTACCGAAGGAAGGGAAGTTACGTCTTTACAAATCAATAGCCAATTCTCACTTCTGCTGTAAAGTGAAATATTAGGGAAAAATGCTTTCTTGGCCAAGTTAATAACAAAAATATAGCTGTGTATGCCCCCCTTTGTTTATTTAAGCATGCTTGCATCTTAAAAGAACACGGCTATAAAAGTCCTTATACACAAATTTCTCTGGAAGCTAAAATGTTAATCTGTAACATATGCTTGAAACAATCTGCCCAATATAATAACCAACTTCCATCTTATGAAAAATAACTTAACATCCACAACCTGGGAGGTGGAGTGTCTAAGTGGCTGGTGCTTAGGGATCGTACCACGGAAGTTTTGGTGACATCCAAGCATGCTGCTGAAATGGGTGCATTCGAAAGGGCTGTAGAAGTAATGCAAAACTTCGATTTCATAAAAATCTGCTTGTGCTTCAAAATATTTAACTCTGTAGAACCAGTTATGGAAAGCTCAGTAATGCTGCTCATGATATTTATAAAATAATACCTTTAAAATAGTGCAATATTTTATTATATATATAGTGGGAGGAGCAGTTGCACTCGAGTGCAATGGGAACACCCCAAATTGCCCAGGGGAGAGTGAGATATAAAGTCTCAATGAAAAGTTGTATTATATTAAATTTCTGATGTTATGTCGCTGCCATGCTATGTTATCAATAGCTAAAAAAAAAAAAATAAAGAGAGCAAAACCACCACGGAAAAAAGAATATCTTCATTTGATGGCATCTGAAAAGGGGACTGCTGCCTCTCTCTGGAATGACAGCCTGGTGAAATCTGGCCACGCAAACAAGCTCAGTAGTCCATTTGTGCTAAACCAAATGGCTATTTTGAAAATTGCCTAAGAGCATTAACTTCTGGTTTTACTTTTGTTTTATTTATGGATTTGCCTCTGCTCCCTACTAATAAGACTAGTGAAAGTGTATTTTCCACATTGGTATTTAATGATTGGTTTAGACATTGAGACCCTCATGTTGAGCAACATTTCAGCCCTGTTTTGGAATCAGAATTAACATGCTACATTTTTTAATGTCAAAACCTACATTCTTTAATATCGGAACTAGTTGAATACTATGTGGCCACTTGTGACTTTCGAGAAAAGAAAACAGCTTAATATTTGAGGGTACTGTCATGTTCAAAATTTAAGTAACTCTGGATTTTTTTGAAAGACAGTTTGAAAATACTTGGCTCTTATTAATAGTAAGATAATTCTTGAGTTCCCTAAAAGTAAATAAATTTAAAAGCACTCTAAATATGTATTGTCTTTATTTCTAAATTGAGATAGCTTTCTTTTAAAAAATGGGGTGGTCCCTTAATCCTTTTTAAGCCATGGACCCCCTTACACAGCTGATTAAAACGACTCTCGCCCCTAAAAGATATACACATGCACATCGTAAGTTTTATAGGACCTGGGGCCACAGGCCCACTGTGTCACATGGCCACATAGTTTAGTTATTCATATCAAATGTATTGGCAATCAGGAAAATAATACAACTTTCCAGACGCAAGGATAACTTACTGCATGTTTCCACACTGACGACATGTGACTAGTTAACATATTTCAATTTAAAACACTTTTCAAAGCCAAAATGTGTGGTTCACTAACCTGGAGAGGAAGTTACCTGATGCCTGCAAGCAGAGAACAGTTTTTAATTAAATAACAGTCAAGACAATACCTTATGTATTTGATTCCAAGGATAATGTCTGGTTTATAAAGGAACACAAATAGGCACAGTAGTGTTCAGAAGATTTATTACGTAAACTAGCTAACACATGACGTAGGCAGGTACGCTTGGCAGTCAAAAGGAAGAATTGACTCTTCATCGCTACCTCATTACAGTTTTTGTATCTGTTTGCCAGGTACACACTCACCAAACCACCTCTGCTCAAAGAAACTCAGAGCTGTATGTTTGTTCTGACATACATAAGTTGTTTTTTTTTAGTCTTTTTTGTCTTGGCTAACCCCAGAATATTAAGTCACAAAAAAGACCCTGCAACTCCCCATTTTTCCTGTTAGATAAAACTGGTATCTTTTGGTCCTAAAACAATTCTAAAAAATTCCACATAGCTTTTAAGTTATCCCTAAGGATCAGTAAGCAGGCATGCCTTTCCCAGTCATTTTTGAGGAGACCAATCTTAAAGGCAAAAATAAAGTAGGAATAACTTCTGTGGTTATTACCACGTTCTTTTTGAAGGTTCTCCTCAATGGGCGTGGAGGACCCGCCTCAGGGCCATGGGCATGCGCCTCGGGAGCACCTTCCAGAAGCCACTGGCATCACCTGCCCAGTGTGAATCAGTGAGCGGGAAGCTTGTGTGCTTCCAGTTCACAGCACCTGACAGCCAGGCTGCAGATCCCTCTCAGGCCCACAGGACAGCTCCATAAAGCAGATGGAATAGCAGCATCCGCTAACTTTCCTAGAGAATTAAAAGGCTGAAGAGTCCTCTCTCTTACAGTACTTAGTTCCTCGTCGCTCAAGTTAAACAATTTTTAACAGAAAAATCAACATTAGGTGATTTTCATTTACAATGACAGAACTACAGAACTAACAAGTAGTATTTGAGGCATTCCACACTATCACCACTGCAATCATATCTCATATAAAACCTGGTGTAAACTGACAGTGTTCACTAACACAGTATTTGCTGTTACACTGGAAAACACGACAATGTCATGCTTAAAGAAACGACATCACATAGCATTAGACGACAGTAACACAGAGACATTTTCAGATGTTTGATTTTTTTTTCCTGCCTGTGAAAGGGGGGGTGTCTGGACTACCCTATTACTTGTACCTGGTTTTGTAACATGATTCAAGACATCATTTCATTCATCTTCATTTAAAATTTTTCACATTGATGTGACCCACTTTCAAAAGTCTAGAAAAGAATAGTTTCAGACAACTCAAAATTAAAACACTTGGACGACCTCCAAAACAGGTCAAAGATGATATAGTCTGATTTTTTTGTTCATGTCATAGCAGCTATTAGCTTTTCTCCTTTATTTCCTAACCTTGAACTAGAGGTTGATATGTCTTGCCATACTTACACAACCTTGACAGTTGCGTAATCTACCCTCAATGTTCCTTCATCAAGATAACCATTTATCTTAAGGGGAAGCGTCCACTTGTTCGTTTAGATGCTTTTCTCTGCTTTCAGAACATTCGCTATTTTCCCCCTCATTGGCTTCAATGTTCGCTGCCAACCACATGACATGTCAACATGTAATTTACAACCAGCTGTTTCCAGGTAGGCGATTACATATAGATAACTAGTGCCAGCTAAGTTTTACCAACAAATCCAAACGGTAACTGCCTCCAGTTCTTGTCCTCTGCGTTGGAGATAACTAGCTTTTAACTCATACATACATTGATAACAACAGGTTGAATAACTCTAGGCGTCACTACATAACCAAACGTTGTCTTACTTGATTGTTGTTCAGACTTCCTCCTGGTGTCTTATTGTCGGAAGTGTCTCGGAGATAACGTGTACTTTAGTTTTAAACAATGATTACCAATATTCAGAAAAAATATAAGGTGATTTTGGGGTGTTTTGGTTTTTCTTTTGGCCCAAGTGTTCGTGAATGTAAGTTAAAAAATTATATCTGATTTGGATTCGAATATTTATAGATTTACACTATATCTATTTCGTCAAAATATATTGTATAATATTTAATAAAATCAAATACATAAAATAAAGTTTTCAACACTTTATACAAACCCCTAGAAAAGCTGCTTTTTCTTTATAAGGCTCTTGGCAATCGACCATACCCACGGGAAAGAAAGGGTGACCTCTGGTTCTAAGGCTTCACCGGGGGCGTGCGGGGCGACTAACACGGTTCTGTACGAGTCACTGCACGGGGAACACTGCTTCACACGACGAAATGCTCTGGTGACTTCTGAGGGTCTCAGTCACTTTCAGATTCTTCATCACCCAGCGGATACGCCTGGACATTGTTCTGAGTGTACATTTTTGTCTTAACCGTGCTGTTGTGATCCATGAGAATAGCCTAAAAGAGAGCAAAGGGCAGATACATTAACTTCCCGTTTCAGAAAGATGGTTTTAACCATTTCTAAGGTTTACGTGTGTGTGTGTGTGTGTGTGTGTGTGTGTGTGTGCGTGCGCGCGCGCGCGCGGGCGCGCGTGTGGATGGGTCCACCCACTATTCAACAGTCATTTGGTGCAACTGCAAGCTTCCTGGCCCAGAAAGCCTGGAGTTCTCCAAGGTGAACATTTCGGGAATAGGCTATCCCAGAAGGGGTCTCCCCAGAATTTTCATTCTAACTGCAGGGCCACTAAGTGGATTCGGGGGACCCTGTGAGCTCTGACAAAAGGCATATGCAGGTTAGGTTTAGGAAGTTATACTTAGAATCTTGGAACTGGGGGAGGGATGGTCCCTGGAGGTCTCCCAATCCAACCTGTTTGCAGACTTCACGCGGCAACACTCCATAAGGACGTGCTCTCGCCTGAGGACGCCAGCTCTGGTGTTAGAAACGCCCCGGATGGACTGGATTGCCTCCATTGTCTGTGAATCGGGTTCTGATTCCCACCACCTTTAGGGACCACCCTTACAGTGTACTAAGACCATGCTTCCACTTCCTGCAGAATTTTTCTTTTTAAATGAGCTAAAGCCTTGGCTGAACTGCAGGAGCAGCAGCAGCCCTCAGCAGCCCTGGGGCCAGCCTTCATTCAGCGGCTCTCAGAGCAGTAGCTGGCCAGGCAAGCACCTTGTGCCGCACCCACTGGTCCTCCGGCCTCACCATTTCCTCCCCGCCCCTGATAAGCCATCAGGCTGCCAAGGAATGATAACACCACAGCCACTGACCTACGTCTGCTGCCTTGGCTGGGAGATCAAGGGTCTGACCAGCAAAAGGAAGCTCTCACATCACAGAGGGAAAACAGGGAGGATGAGACGGACCGAAGTCAGAGGTTTGGGTTAAGAGCAAGAATGACTGAGCACTTACTTCCTTGGGTGCCAGACCTGGGCTGAGCCCTCTGTGGGATCCTTTCCTTTAATCCCCCCCAACAACCCTATGAGGTGCCAGTCCTGCTCCAGGGCCCTGCCAGCCCTTCCCTCTCCCCCAGGAGTCTTACTGTCTCCGGGTGACAGAGGCACTGGTTGGTGATTAGCCTTAACCAGATCCTTGCTGCACTGAGAACTTCCTGAGCCCGATTTGGGCAAAGTCCTGTGCTGGGGCCCGTCAAGCACAGATGGAAAGGGAACCTTCACAACCAGGCCGGAAAAGAGGAGAGTCCTGGAGAGACCCACGTACAGGGCTGTGGAGAGGTCGCTGACTGAGCAAGAGGCAGGGAGAGAGGGGGCCTCTGTCAGAGTATTTCCTCAGCACCTCCATGCCTCTTCTCTGAGTCTAGCGGGTCATGAGCAATTCAAAGTGACAGACAGAGGGAGCCAGACCAGGTGGCCTGGCGGTTGGGCCCTGACCTATGAACCAGGAGGTCACAGTTGCTGTGGGCTCGATCTCCAGTGTGGGGCGTGCACGAGGCAGCCGATCAATGATTCTCTCTCTCTCTTGTCATTGATGGTTCTATCTCTCTCTACCTCTCCCTTCCTCCCTGAAATCAACAAAAATACTTTTTAAATGACCAAGTCAAATCCTATATAATAAAGGGCATAGTGCTAGATCTATTTTTCAAATATATTGAACAGATTGATGAATGCAAAAAAAACAAAACAAAACCCAAGCTAATCCAGGCTGCATGGCACCTAACGTGAGGGTCTGCGTCTGTCTTTAAATCCCCTGTTTGGGGGAAATCATGAAAGGGCAGTTCATGAAAAGCCAAAGCACCCAGGTCCACGTCAGCTCCGTCAGAGAGAACTCGGGCTGTGCTCCCAGCAGAACATTGCGAGAGAGCGAACGTCATATCCATTTGTGAACCACACAGGCCACCTCCCCGCCTGCTCTCTTCCATTCACTCCTAACCTCAGGGCCTCTGCTTTTAGCCAGAGGAGTGTCTGTCACCATTCCATGTAACACAGAGCAGCAACACCCACCGCCTCCAGCTATGCTTGCTGATCAGAAAGGTTAAAATGGCTGATGCATTTCAAATTCAAACTCGGAATTGATAAACTTTGAACGTAGTATACAAAAGAAGAACACTTCCCCTTCTATCTTGCCTGTGGCTATGATTCTGGTCATGGAAATTATGAATTTCAACTGTTAGATGTGTGCCCGAAGGGGCATATACAGCCTTCCCCCCTCCCCCCCCCGAAGGGCCTGTTACCTGCACTAGAACCACCTCTGGAACCTTAGGCAGTGAGGCCCCCGCCGCTCTCACGGAAAGCTGCCAGGGCTGGGAGAAAGGCGATCAGCACCAGCAACGGCTGATCGCAGAAGGATGCGCAGGAGGACGTGCGGGTGTGCCCAGCCTGATGTCCATATTTTCCAGATGTTCAAGAACCAGACAATGACCCCATGTTTATATTTCCTTGACAAAAGAGTCTACTGACTGCTAATCTACCTACGTACAGAAGTAATTTTACTCTACAAATGTATAACCATAATGCTTGATTACAGTAAAGGAAGTAGCTTGTCCCATGTGGTGTAAACTAAAAAGGAACTCTTTACCATTTATGTTTGGAGAGTTCCCCCCAAAAGTAGCAGGAACATACTTTAGAAGGAAGAAACATACCTCAACATGTGGATGGGGGGCGAGAAGAGATGAATCAAAGAACTTACATTCTTACAGACATGGACTGGGGCAATAGGGTGATGAGGGGAGGGGAGAAGGGCTGGGAGGGGCAAATAGGAGACATCTGTAATACTATCAACAATAAAAAGTATATAATAAAATAAAAATCAAAATAAAACCTAAAGTCTGCAAAGGAAAAGTAAATAAAGGATCCAAAACACGGTGCTTCAATGATCAAGGAACACTTCAACCCATCCCCAAGTTTCTCACCATTTTCTCTTCCGTGGCAGGTGGACTTCGAAGAAGAAAGCAGAGAGGAGCAAAAAGAATATTAACTACTCCAATAATTCTCATGAGCCACGGAAATCCAATTGCCTTCGCGATAGCCCCGCCAGCGGAAGGACCTTGGGGAGACAGAGAATGGGGTGAGCTCTCTGCAGACGCTGCGCCAGGGAGAGGGGCGAAGGCTCAGGTGGTTTACGGTGGGCGCGCTCTGTCGTGCCGAGACAAAAGGTGGCTCTGTCAGGCCGGCGCCTTACCTATCGCGTATCCCATACAGAAGGCCACGTCTGCAATGGCGTACACACTCCCGTAGACGGACACGTGCCGCAGGTCCACCAGGTAGCCCATGATGGGCATCATGGAGGAGTCCACCATGCCTGTGGGCCAGAAAACAGTCCATAGAGAATGGTTGCACACGGAAGATGGGATGGGTGTCAGGGCGGTCCTAACCTCATATCCCTGCTGCCTCCTCCCCCTCTGGCCAATTCCCCACCCGCACGTCCTGAGCCAGACTCCCTACAGCACACCTCTGGCTGAAGGCCGACGGGAGGCAGCTGAGGGGGTGGGAACTGGACCAGTCCACCAGGTGCCTGTTCCCTGCCTTGTCTCACCTCGTCCTCACTGTCCAGGTAGCCTGTCCTCCGACAGAGGGCTCTCAGTCCTCTGGTGGCTCTCCCGCGTTCTCCAGAGCCAGCGGCTGCTGCTCACTAGCCCTCGGAGCCCCACCTGCTTCCTGTTGCTATTTCCCCGGTTCACTCGTTTCTGGTCCACTCGTCCCTTGTCCTCAACGAGGAGACACGCCTACATGCCTCACCCAGTCTCCTCTCCATGCACACGTTGGCCCCACACAGGGGGCAGGGTCAGGAGGATTCAGAACAAGGAGTCTGAGGGATCATAAAACACTACCACCACCAAGACCAGTGGTCCAGTTTCTGGTCTCCTGAGCAGTCAGGGACAGGAAGTGTGAATACAGCCCAGCTGGCAGGCCTCAGGGGTTGATCTTCAGTCTATGAACCAGGAGGCGCAGTTCCATTCCTGGTCAGGGCACGTGCCCGGGTTGTGGGCTTGATCCCCAGTGGGGGGTGTGCAGGAGGGAGCCCATCCATGGTTCTCTTTCATCACTGATGTTTCTATCTCTCTCTCCCTCTCCCTTCCTCTCTGAAATCAATATATATATATTTTTTAAAAACAAAACAAACACATGTTCTGGGTTCAAATCCCTGGCCGGTTGAGTGCAGTCACGCCTTCTCCCTCTGAACATCGGTTCCCCACCTATCCCATGGGCCTGGCCGTGACGGACCAGGGAGACCGCGTCTGTGACTGCCCCCAGCAAACCACTCATTCCCTCTCCCCCAAGCCCCAGGGGCAGGAGGAGGAGGAGGAGGAGGAGGAGGAGGGAAACTCCCTTCACTGGTGTCTGCTGATCACCGAGCACGTGCACGGTGTGGGGACACAGGAGAACAAGACAGCTGGATGCTAATCAACGGGTTGAACATTAATTCCAATGGTGACAGGTGCTACGGAGGCACGTGGGAGGACACCTCTCCGCTCAGGGGGCCTCGCCTGGTCCCAGGGGCCAGCCAAGGCTCCCGCTCTCTTTGTACCCGGGAATGCCTGCCTGCCTGCCTTTCCCTGCGATCGACTTCAGCACTGATTTGTGTCGTGATCGATCTACAGGTTCCAAAGGAGAAACGCGCGTCAACTGTTCATCCGAAATACTAACGGGGTTTCCCTAACGTGGGCGCGTCTCGTTTGCCCGTGAAAATTCCTGCTGCACCGGTCCACCTGTCCTGTACCAAATCTCACCAAAACCCCCGGGAGGCCTGGTCCCCCAGGCTCATCAGAGAAGACCCGTTCTCAGGTCTGAGCCCAAAGGGCCCTGCGTGGGGGGAGCTCTGGTTTGCCCAGAGGTGCGTGGGCGCCTGCAGACACCAAGCTTCTGAAAACGCTGGAAGCGAATGACTCGTGCGTGGAAGCAGGCGTTTTCCTGTGGGCGGTCTGCAGGCTGTCCTGGGCTTGGCTGCCCACAACCTGCGCTCACGCTTCTAGAAAGTTCAGGGTCAGCCCGAGTGATCGGAAACCTTTCTCAGCGACGGGGGAAAACGACCATTTTAAGTGGAGGTGCCAGGCTCCTGGGTCTTACCAATTGCAAAGCCAACTCCGAAGTTGGGGGCGATGAGTCCATAAATGCTTTGGGCAAAAGGAAGCTGTGAGAGGAAATGGAATGTTACACTAAAATCACGTGATAAGCAACTGATACTAGCTTGGGAAGTCTTCCAAAAATGCTGTCTCCAGCCGGGCACGTGTGCTCCCTTCGAAGGAAACAGCGGGGAGGAGGGTAGGCTCAGGGAGAGCCAGACCCTCCCCTCCCATCTTTCCAGCTGGAGCCGAAATGGGTTTTGAGATCACCCCGAAACACTGGTCAACTCCCAATGCGCAAGATCGGCCTGGTCCACACTCCCTTTCTGGCAAGGACCCACAAACCCATTTGGGGTAGATCCTGGCCACAGGAAGATGATGTTTTATTCTAGAAAAAAAGCATCTTGCTATTGTTCCAGGGCACCCTAAAGTGCTTAAGATAGGGGTGTCGAACTCAATCAGAGAAGGGGCCAAAATCTAAAATCCAGCCTAAATCTCGGGCCGAATGGTTTACTGAACAGTCATAAACTGTCATCGTGATGGAAACGCAGCGGAGTGCAGTGATGACAGTGCGGTGCGGGCCACATTGCAAGGCCTGGCGGGACGGATTTGGCCCGCGGGCCTTGTGTTTGACACATGTGGCTTAAGACATTGTAACGTTTAAGGTGATGGGGGTAGGGGTGGGTGACATATCTTACCTATTAAAAGAGAAACATGCAAACTAACCAACACTCCACCATGCCCACAGCCAATCAGAGTAAGTATGCAAATTAACCCAACAAAGATAGAGCTTAATTTGCATAGGCAGGCGCAGAGCCTATGAGGGGGAAGAGGGCGGTGGAGGGAGCTACTGGAGTGGTGCTCCAGACAGAAGCGAAGACTTGCGGGACCCGGGGTGGCCCAGGAGTGAAGCCAGGGGAGGAGGGCCTATTCTTGCAGGAATATCTGCAACAGGCCTCTAGTAATGATATAACAACTCCCAACTGGCATTCAATGAAAATACATCCCTTGGAGAGTCTTGTCCAAAATTTCTAAGATGATAAAAAAAAAAAATTGGAAGAAAATGAAAGATGTAAGAAAATGCATTATCAGCAAAGCTTCAAAACGGCTGAACAGTATTTCTTGGTGATTCTTGCCCAAAGCAGAAAGTGCTCCTTACTGACCATCTCCACTTGTTAACTGCGGCCTTTTACTCACCCATAAAACGCTGACCCCCACAATGATCATCCCCAGCAGGGCGCAGAGCCACCTGTGAACAGCAACAACCGCCATCAACCCATGTGCCTTTTGCCCCCACCCCCGCCCCCCTCCTCCGTCTGCATTTTCAGTGGAAATCGCAGCAACTGCTTGTCTTTGCCAAGACAGAGACACAGAGCATTGTTGTGTGTTTTTTAAAAAAGAATGGGGTGATGAGAAGGCAGGGAGCGTTGCTTCCACCGCATCTCACCTCCCGATCTTGTGTGCGAGTATCCCGAAGATATTGGTTCCAATGAGATAAGAGATGCTCGCTGGCAAAAAGGCGACGCCTGTGTGATGAAAGGGACACCTTATCAGCACGGATACCGGGCGCGCCGGGAAAACTAATCATCGCAGCCGCCGCTGGTGGCGACGAGAGCCGAGGAGATGCAGCCCGGGGGCCGGCACGGGGCAGCTAATATCCGGCGGCTGCCCGGCCGGCCGGACCCCACACGGCTCGTCCGTCCACAGCGCTGCGGAGACGCTGCAGACGCGGAATTCATTTCTCTATCGGCGCCTCCATCTCTGCCTGGCGGGGAGGTCTGCACGTGGACCCGCACCAGGGCAGGGCACTGGCGCCCCACACAGGGCCCCTCCTCCCCCTTCCTCGTTGTAGGACTGAAGGCAGACTCCGGAGGCTGCCCCAGGGCGGACCGGGCTCAGCTACCAGGGGATCTGTCCCCAGCAGCTCCCTCTCCTCCCTACTATTTAAACAGGAAACCCTCTTTCGGAAAGATGGTTTTTCAGACTCGTGAGAGTTCAAAATTCCAGTGTTTCTTCTTGAAATCAGGGATACCAGATTAGACTCTGCGCCTTGCACACACCTGCCGTGTTTCCCCGAAAATAAGACGTCCTCCGAAAATAAGACCTACTGCATGGAAAGATAAGACATCCCCTGAAAATAAGACCTAGCGCAACTTTGGGAGAAAAAATTAATAGAAGACACTCTTATTTTCGGGGAAACAGGGTAGTAAAAAAAAAAAAAAAAAAAAGTTGCTTTGATTTCAAATCTCCGTTCTTTCTCCAGCAATGATGGGGGAGGCATCAGGTCGGGACCTTGAGCAGAGAGGGCTGGGCGGCCCGGGCTCGGGGAAGGGCTGGGCACTGGGTCCTTGCTCTTGTCAGCCAGGCTGCCCGCCCAGCAAGGCGCAGAGGGGCCTGCGGGGCTCCGGCAGAGGCGGCCTTGGCCGCAGAGACCGCACTGCAGATGGCGCAGAGCAGGGGGAGCAAAGCGATTCCCTTGAGCAACCAAGTCTCGCTCGGAGCGAGGAAGGGGTGCTGTCCCGGTGGAGAGGGGGCCGTCTGGCGTGGGTGCTGAGCCCACCGGGTCTCCTGAGGAACCGAAGCGGCCTGCTACCTAGCCAGATGGCCCGGGCTCTCGCTGACTGTAAGGCCATAAACCAGCCCCAGGCTGTGTCTGGGGGGAGAGGACGGAGCATCGTAAGTGCCCTGGGCAGGGGCTGCCACATCCAATTCGGGTCCCCAGTCAATGAAGAGGAGACATCAAACCATCAGCAAAACATCTCAGCCCAGGCGCACCGCACAGCCCCTGCAGGACACTCCCAGCCACGGCCACCAAACCCCGGGAAACACTGGGGCCCCACCTCCCCTGGGGACCAGAGCGGAAGGAAATCTGGGAACACCGCTCAGGGCTGGCAACGAGGCATGAGGAGACAGCCGAGCCCCTAAGCTCTGACCCCGTGAAGTGTCGCACGGAACGCCCCTCCGTCATCCTGGCCCCGCAGCTCGGCAGGGCGACGGGCATGGACCCGCCCTGGGGACCGAAGCCCCAGACACACAGGAGCCCGCCCGCCCCAGGCCTTACCCAGCTGCCACTTGTGGGAACACATGGTCTCCATCATCCAGATGGGCAGGGACGGCTCCAGCATGGCGATGGCCATGTTTGCAAAGCAGATGGACCCTTGGAGGGAGCAAGAGGGTGAGTGGGCGTCTGAGGCCCGAGTGCCCCTTAAGCACCTCCCAGCACAGCTAACCCACACGTGCCCACGGCCAGTGCCAGCAGCTTGGAGGCCCGGAGCTTTTCCTGCTTTTGTAAGGAAGGGAAATGGTGGACCAAGGCAACAGTGAAGAGGGTTGGTATTACTATTAATTATTATTATTATTATTAATATTAATATTATTATTATTACAACCAGATTCCCAGAGTTTGGAACTGGAGGCAACTTTCGAGATCATTGGGTTTAACTTTCCTGACTTACGAACAAAGAACGGGAGCTCCGATCGCTAATGGAGGGGACTTGCGTGAGGTCACGGACACACACACAGACTCGGGCCAACGGAGGCTGCTGCACCTGCCTCTCCCCCCACCCCACCGCCAGCCTGACCCCAAGCACCATGCTGACCACCAAATCCAGGCCAGGCAGCATGTGACCGGCCCCTTGTCGGGCAGCCCAGGCCTGTGTCACTGGGATGGGCCTGAGGGGTCGGCGCTTGGATGAATGCTGCACCGAGCACAGATCTTCCTAAGGAAGGAACCCTCCCCGAGAGAGTTCCTCTGGGCCCACGAGGCCAAGAGACTCCTCTGGCCACAGGGAGTCTCCCGCCCAGGCCGCTGTGCTGGGCGGGACGCCCTCGGGGTCTGCCCTCGGGCCCGCTGTTGCTGTTGGTCACCCGGGTTAAGGTGAGTGAGAACCCCAGCCAGACGCCCGCAGGGAGGCCACGGACTCCTTCCGCAAGGTCAGGGCCAAGCAGGGGCGGCCTTTGCCACCAGCGCAGAGCAGGCACGACCCACCACAAACTGGGGGTGCGGGGGCCTCCGAGACGCAGACGCCTCTGCCCCAAAGGAAAAGCTACTCCGGCAGCTGGCCGAGCGTCAGAAACGAGTGACGGAGGGAAGCCGTTGGTGCGACGCACACCCTCCCTGTGTCCTTCGTGCCTCTGCACAGCCCAGTATCTCCAGTCGCTACGTGAACGCTGGTCCTCGCCCCCCCCCCCACCCTCCCCGGGGCTGAGGAGGACGGGGGTGCGGGGTAGCCCCACCTGCGGCGATGAGGATGTAGGGGTCCTTCAGCAGCGTGGTCAGCGGCGTTCCCTTCTGGCTCTGGGGAGAGAGCGGGGCGAGGGTCAGAGCAGGGGACGAGGCGAGGACAGCGCCCCCCGCCCCCGAGGCTCACCTCCGGCTGCACCCGGTTCGGCTGGAGCACGCAGAGCTGGATGGCTACGGGGAGAGAGAGACAGGAGGCCGCTCAGAGGCCCGCTCGGCACCCGGGCCCAGGTCCCGGCCACGGCCACGGCCACGGCCACGGCCCACGCGGGGACTCACCTCCGTCCAGGAGCACCAGGGCGGCCAGCACCAGGAACGGGGCCGTCTTCCCCACGAACTCGTAGAGCACGCTGCCGAAGGGGGGGCCCACTGCCGGGGGGGGGGGAGGGAGAGAGAGAGAGAGAGAGAGAGAGAGAGAGCGCGCGCGAGCGCAAGCTGATCCTCCAGCTGCGGCCGATGCCCCCGCCCCCGCCCCCCACAAGGAGCGGCCGCTGGTTTCTCGTGCTTCGCGCTCTGTTTTGTTCTAGAATAGGGGTGTCGAACTCAATCAGGGAAGGGGCCAAAATCTAAAATCCAGCCTAAATCGCGGGCCGAATGGTTTACTGAACAGTCATAAACTGTCATTGTGATGGAAACGCAGCGGAGTGCAGTGATGACAGCGCGGTGCGGGCCACATTGCAAGGCCTGGCGGGCCTTGTGTTCGACACATGTGTTCTAGGAGCTGCTGGCGGTGGCCATCCTACTCTGCATCCAGCCAAGCGCCCTGGCTACATCCTCCCAGCGGCCCCGCATCGGGGACACGGGCCAGAGACCCGAAGGGTCACCCCAAAGTGAAGGTCAGAGGGGAGCGAGATCCTGGTTGGCGAGGACCTCCATCCCTTAAGCACCAGCACAGACAGGGACTGCGGGCTCAGGGGGAGGGGACCCCGATCTCTGGGGGGCAGATACCACCCCTGGTCTGGGAGGCCAGGCAGGAAGGTGGGGTTGGGGGTCCAGACTCCGAGGCGGGGAGGTCCTCTCAGCGTTAACCCAGCGACGTGTGAGCGGACAGCCAGGATCCTGGCAGACCTCCCTGGTCCAGCCTCCTGTACGCCTGGGCCTGGGAGGCCTGGGGCTGGTTTCCCAAGGTCCCCCCGGGGCAAGTCTGCGGGTAGAGGCAGGGAGGAGGAGCCCAGGGCCTCCCCCGTCAGGAAGGCTCCCCAAGAGCAGGGAAGGAAAAGGGACAGTTATGGAGTCCGGGAGGAGGGACTGTCGCTGTCCAGCGCAGACAGGCTGCCGGCGCACCTCTGCGTGGACCTCACCCACCTAAGACCCCCATGGCCAGGCCGCCCAGGGCGATCCCCATGGCGTGGCCTCGCTCCTCGTCATCCATGTACACGCTGGCCAGCATGCCCATCCCTGCGCAGGGAGAGAAACGCCGAGACAGTTACCCATGACTCCCTTCCCTCCCCAGCCTGGTCCTGGGAGAGGCCCAGCCCGGTCAGATTCATGAAAACACAAGACCAAGAAGGGTCTAGCGAGGAGCGGGGACCTTCTCCACAAGCCACGGCCAGTGCCCAACCCCGAAACCTTGATTCCCTGAGTCACCCAGCTCGCAGGGTAGGGGCTGGGGAGGGGGCAATGCTCCTGGGACAGACTGAAGACCCCCGGGCACAGACTTACTGGGGCACGGCCACACCTACCAGCCACCGAGGAGCAGGAGGAGCCGACGCCCTGCAGGGACCTGGCGATCAGCAGGAGGGCGTAGCTCCTGGAGAAGGCGAACACTGCGGGAGAAGGGCCAGGCCGGGCCAGTGGGTCAGGGCCGGCGGCTGCCACTGAGACCAACCGAACCAGGTCCAACAGGCATTTCTGAGGCCCTCAGCCCAAGGGGTTGTTTCCACAGGAACCACCCTGTTTCTGCCCAGAAGACACCCCCCTCTAGGAATTTCTTTCTGCAGTTTTTACCCACCTCCCCGCCCCCGCCTGGGATCAGGGTTCTCAACTCGGGGCTCACGGCCATCAGACCCCTTCCTGTGACCCCATGCCCTGAAGGCAAACACAAGGCACTTACAGATGGTGGAGATGAACATGATGCAGAATCCCACAAACATCGGAATCGGGTAGCCGATTCTGCAAAACAAAAACCACCAGGGGCCTCCGGAGGCTGCTGCGTGTTTGCCTAAGGCTTCAGCCGCGTCTCTCCTGCCCGCGCCCTCTGGGAGCGGCGGGTAAGCGCTAGGTCAACTTCCCTAAAAACTCATACAGCTGGCGCTTCCTGCATGACCTTTCCGTGTTTGACTGTCTCCGAGTGTGAATACATTTACGACTGCCTGGCCCGGACAGACATTTCTCTGGAATAAATGTTAGCACAAGATGGGAAAGCAGCCCAGGGCACGGCCCGAATATACGGCCCCTGGCTCCACCGTTTTTTAAGTATTATTATTTTTAATATATTTTATTGATTTTTTTACAGAGAGGAAGAGGAAGAGAGAGGAATAGAGAGTTAGAAACATCGATGAGAGAGAATCATCCATCAGTCGCCTCCTGCACACCCCCCACTGGGGATGTGCCTGCAACTATGGTTCATGCCCTTGACCGGAATCGAACCCGGGACCCTTCAGTCAGCAGGCCGACGCTCTATCCACTGAGCCAAACTGGTTTCGGCAATAACTATTATTTATCTTTAATGGTAGTCGCCGCTAGAGCTTCTCCGAAGGCACAGTTGCGATCAGTGATTCCAGGATCTGACCGGCCAGCGAGGCAACTGCCCTCCATTGAAGAGGTGTCAGGGAGGCCAGCGGAGAAAGACAGGCCCCGTTTTCTGAGCACAAACCCTATGTCCTACTTGCTCCCTAAGAGCACAGCCCATCCAGGGCTCTGCCACCAGGCAGGTGGCATGGTGGGAAGACCTTGGCCTTTCTGTACCTCGCCCCCGGCTGGACGCCCGGCCCTGCCATCAGCCCAGGAAGTCTTGCCCGAGCTTCCCAGGGAGCTCACCGCTGCCTACCTCCCAGAGCCCAGTGAGTGTTGGATGCAACCAGGGCGCCTCCCTCATCCCAGGAGGCGGAGCGGTTATCACACCTTGGTCCCTGCCACCTGCATGGGGCACGAGGGTGCAGGCAGCTTCCTGGTCCCGCGCCCTGAGACGGTGTGCGGCGCTGGCTGAGCCGTTCTCTCTGGGAGTCCGCGTCAGCCCAGAGCAGCCGGAGCACCTCCAGGCCTCGTGCCCCCGAGCCCTGGATCCCACACCAAAAAGCCCCGAGTCCCAGTCACTCAGCCCAGAAGGGCCCATCTGCTCTGGACTTGACTAAAAGGCATAGCTCTCACTCACTCAGTCCTCAAGCACTCACATCCAGCAGCTCACTGACTGGACAAGGACGGTGGCCGCCTGCCCATCTCACATGTGCGGATACTCGGGCACCAACAAGGGGCCTGTGAGACGTCCTCTGGCTGACTGCACCCCAGGCCACTCCGTCCAGCCCAGGGCTCTCCCTGCAAACTCCCCTACCTTCCCAACAGAGTTCCTGGTCACGCTCTCTTCCCCCCCCCACCCCCTCTTTTTTTTTTAAAGTGCTTCATGTGCATCCGGAAACCAAAGAGCATCCTCAAATCATGACAGACTCCCTCTCACACCCCATGCAGATCCCCCACTGGGACCTGAGAAGAGCTTGCAATTCACAAAGCGGGGCTCAAGGCAGACAGGTGAGGCAGCCGAGCCTGCTCCAGCCAGGAGACACCGGCTCTGAACCGCCGTTCAGATGGCCATCCCGTGGCCGCCTCTCTCGCCTCCATTAGCCCGGCGCCGGCCGCTCTGCGCTCCGGGCCCTGGAGAAGGAAACTTGCCGGAGGCTCAGAGAGCAGCGCTCCAGGCAGTTCCTCTTTCTCAGCCACTACTGTGCTCTGCTCCTGGGGGAAGAACCGACCATGAAAATCCTTACAGCTGCCCCGGGACGAACACCGCGTCCATATGTGTGCGAAGCTGTGGACATGCCAGGGGTTCTTACGCCCAAGGCCGCAGCCTGGCCACTGGCCCAGGTCCCCTGGCAGGACATGGCTGGGGCGGGCTGCTTGTCACCGGGAGGCCGGCCCTGGCAGTCCCCGAGGCCGTCTGCGGGGAAAGAGTGGGCAGAGCTGCCGGTGATGTCTTCGCAGCTCCATGAGATCTCTGGCTCTAGTCCCATTTTTCAGATGGCCGCACGGAGGCTCAGTGAACTGAAGTAACTTGCCCCCAGTTCAGGGCACCAGCGTGTCTCCAGCATCTGAGGCAGGCCAGGTAGGTGCTGCTGCTGTGCACTGTGGTGGGGACCCTGATCACAGGAGCACAAGTTCACGTGCGGTGAGTGGAACAGAAGGTCCACAGTTTCACCTAAAGCCAGTCGGCTCTGCCCTGCAGTGCCGTCTTCTTTAAAAAGCATAGTTATTGCCGAAACCAGTTTGGCTCAGTGGCTAGAGCATCGGCCTGCGGACTGAAAGGTCCCTGGTTCGATTCTGGTCAAGGGCATGTACCTTGGTTGTGGGCACATCCCCAGTAGGGGGCGTGCAAGAGGCAGCGGATTGATGTTTCTCTCTCATTGATGTTTCTAACTATCCCTCTCTCTTCCTCTCTGTAAAAAAAATCAATAAAATATATATTTTTTAAAAAAGCACAGTTATTGCTTTTAAAATCCCTTTGGGACTTAATGAAGCGGGCAGGGGATAACCAAATGGCCAGTGTGGAAGGACACTCAAAGGCTGGCCAGTCCAAACCCTCATCTCGGGTGAGAAAGCGAGTTTCAGAGACAGGGTGGTGGCTCACCCACGGTCCCAGCACAAGCCAACCGCCTCAGACCCCTGCTACTGCGGTCTCATCACGGACACGCGTGCCCCCCACTTTCAATGCTGGCCAAGCCGCTGACGGGGCTGCCCCACAGAAATTGCCGGCCAGCCTTGCCCTGCAGCCCAGCCCAGCCCAGCACCAAGACACACTCCTGGATCCACCCTCAACCCTCTAGTCCCCTCAGCATCCGCCAAGGAGGGTCAGCCAGGGCCCCGATCCCTGAGTGATGGGCAGACCGCCAACGCCCGTCCTCCCCCCCCCCCCCCCCCCCCCCCCGCCATGTCTCCTGAGTGGGCAGAGCCTCGGCTGCCATTACTCATCCACATCCGAGCAGCCTCCTGTCTGGATGCGACGCCTTCTCAATTAGAGTCCTGCCCAGCGCAGCGCGACAGGACGCGGCAAACCTCCCAAACCAGATCTCCCATTATCGCCCCAGCCCCCGGCCATCCGCCCCGAGCACCGGGCAGCCGTTAATCCGATCGGAACAGGCCTGCAAGCCACAGACCGAGTCCCCGGCAAAAAGGGCAAAGCAGTCAAGGCGCAGTCAGTCGTTCAACACACCCGACAGGGCGGGCGGAGAACCCGTATCCCCCGCTTCATCACTGACTGGTTTACCTTCGCCATGGAGACCAGGAGAGCTCCAGCCTCAGGCCTGGGAGACCTCAGTCTCTCCCTGCCATCCCCCCCCTGCCCCCCTTGCAGGAAGGGACAAAAGCAAGCACGCGTAGGGTACACACGGTCACCAGAAGAGACAAGAGGCGATGTCTCCCTTTTCAATGCTCCCAGCGCCCTGCTGAGAGGGGGTTCGGGGAGTGCACGTCTGTATAAACGGAATAATCGAAATCCACAGGCCCCTCTGCGGAGCCCCTTGTCAATCATTCTGTAATGAAAACAGAGTCTCGGGTTCAGCCGGTGGGGGTCTCTCTTTCTCAGCTCCCAGCCATGCCTGGGGAGTCACGGTGTCCACCCACCCACCCCCACCCCCGTCCCTGACACACAGCTCCAGCGGGGGCTCTGGTCCCTGACCAACGGCCAGCTCCCCGGGAACTGACGGGAAGGCCCTGCCACGCCACCCTCACCGCCCCGGGGCAGCTGGCTTCCCCCTCCCGGAGCAGCTGAGAAGGTCACCGCTTATTCCCACAGAGCCCACTCCGGCCCAGCGATCGGCCTGGGGTGGGGGTAGGGGCGGGGGCGGGGAGGGTTAACCACAGCAGATCGAGTTGCGATTCTGTGCCCCGTGGCTTCCTCCGTGCCGTCCGGATGTCAGCTACGATCTGCGGGGGAAATAACTGGCTTTCGAACACACGAGGTAACTATGGAAATAAATTAAGCCACTGTCACCGGCCTGATAAAAAGCAGACCACGGAGACAATGACGAGCCAGCCGAGGAGGGAGGCCCCGGAGCGGCCCGGCATTAACCCTTTCCCTGGCCGCCCCGCTCCTTCTGGACTCACATTCCGTCCTTGTGCTCGGCACGTGAAGGCCAGGGGGCCACGTTCTGAGCCCGAGGCGTGGACAGAGGCACGGCAAGGTGTTTTCACATTGCACACCTGCCCGGAGCATTGCTTGGACGTGGGTGCGTGTTTGAGTGCCGACAGGGGTTGCTAACTATTAGTCCAGTGGTCCTCAGCCTTCCTCATGCCGCGGCCCTTTAATACAGCTCTCCATGCTGCGGTGACCCCCAGCCATAAAATTATTTCCGTTGCTACTTCATAACTGTCATTTTGCTACTCTTATGCATCGTGATGTAAATATCTGTGTTTTCCGATGGTCCTGGGCGACCCACGGGTTGAGAACCCCGCTGCTGTAGAGCCTAAGACCATCGGAAAACACGGATATTTACATTACGATGCATAACAGTAGCAGGACAGTTATGAAGTAGCAACGAAAATAATTTTATGGCTGGGGGTCACCGCAGCATGAGGAGCTGTATTAAAGGGTTCAGGCATTAGGGAGGTTGAGAACCACTGGGTTAGTCCTTTTACTCGCTTTTACGCACAAGGCCATCCTGAAAATAAACAAACTGGAATTGTAAGTCACACGCGCCTCCAAGACGGGACTCCAGGCACCCAAGGCACCGACAGCGCTCCTGGGTGTGGCCGCTCCACCTGCCCCATTCGAGGTCCTCTGCTCGCTGTCTGGTCACGTGTGTTTCAGTAAAAACATGGCGTCAGCAGAGTCAAGTCCAAGAGAAGTGACTCCCCAGTGAACCCTTACCCTGCTTCCAGGCACTGAGCTGCCTTACGTGCAGGGTTTGGTGTGCGACCTGATCTAATCTGATATTGGAAAGGACAGGCAGGCAGCTGCCTCTTGCATCATCCGCCCACAAAAGCCACTCTCACGGCAGCATCACGGCCCCGGAGAAGGAGTGGCTCCAAGCTGCCTGTCTCTGGGTAGCTCTCTCCCCCCGCCATGTCTTTGGGGGTTCAGGCAGCCTCATTTTCCCCCATCAGAAGCACTGCAGAGAAGCTAGGAAGCCAGACCAGCTCACATCAGTGGCTGGAGATAGAGTTGTTTTTTTGTTTTTTAATATATTTTATTGATTTTTCACAGAGAGGAAGAGAGAGGGACAGAGAGCTAGAAACATCGACGAGAGAGAATCATCGATCAGCTGCCTCTTGCACACCCCCCACTGGGGTTGTGCCTGCAACCAAGGTACATGCCCTTGGCCGGAATCGAACCCGGGACCTTTCAGTCCGCAGGCCAACGCTCTATCCACTGAGCCAAACCGGTCCCGGCTGTTTTGTTTTGTTTTGTTTTTAGGGCCAAGAAGGTGAGGGAAGGCCCGTGTCTAGAAAACCCGGCTGATTTCTCCCGGGACCCCGTGCCCTTTCACTGTTGGGCCCTTTCTTTACCAGTCCAGCCTGGGACCACCAGAGAGAGCCTAAGTGGATGCAAGAGAGAGAGTCTGACCTGCGCTCCTCACTCTTAGGAGCCACGCTTACACACTGTGTAACAGTAAGCAGGTGGCAAGAACAAGGCGGGGGAGACACCGCACGGAGAGGCTGGGCCCCGGCCTGGTCCTGGGCAGACACTTCCTTTCCCGAACGGCCAGCTCTTGGCCTGTCAGGTCCCAGGTCTGGCCCCAGAGCCCCTGCTAAACTCTGTCCCGGCTCCGATGCTCTGTGTTTTGAACGACTCTATACTAGGAAACACAGACACCCACCTCGAAGCGCGGTTGTAAGCGCACTTGTTTACAATCCTGGAAACGGGTCACCCATCTTGTTGGTAATTGAGGATGTGATTGGCACAAATTACACCGAAGACGACTAGCAGTGGCTCACAAGAGAAGGCTCTGCCAAGGACAATGGGACGTGTTTATCGCTTCTCTGAGCAGAACCGCGTCAAGTCCTCAGACTCAGGGCTCTGCATGGAAAATCCTGGGGGAGGGAATCACAGATCCTGGTAACTTTTGGAGGGTCAGACTTTGCTCCATTACTCTGCGGGCAGCGATGGTCAAGGACACTTGTATTTCCCACGTTACAAGGAAGTGCTAAAAAGATGGTTATTTTGACATTTGCTTGGTAGCTGGGGGAAGCAGTTAGGGTTTAAAAATTTGCTCTAGATAAATTCCAAAGTGGATTATTCACCTTAAGAATAGACTGCATTTCACAGGTCACAGAACAAAAATAGGTTTCTCTTGAAGACTTTTTTTGTTTTTTTTTTCCAAGAGCCCCACCCAGGAGCCTTGGGGGCTGCAAGTCAAAGCCTTTGGAGTAGTGACCATAGAGGAAAGGCTCCCTGGTTGTAAACAGGCCTCTTCCTCATGGAATAAACAAAGCATCCAAAACAAGAAGGGGGCTTCTTGCCCTAACCGGTGTGGCTCAGTGGATAGAGAGTCGGCCTGCGGACTGAAGGGTCCCAGGTTCGATTCCGGTCAAGGGCATGTACCTTGGTTGGGGGCACATCCCCTAGGATGGGAGGAAGCTGATCGATGTTTCTCTCTCATCAATTTTTCTAACTTTCTATCCCTCTCCCTTCCTCTCTGTCGAGGAAGAGGAGGAGGAGGAGGAGGAGAAGGAAGAAGAGGAGGAGAAGGAGGGGGGGGGAGGAGGAGGAGGAGGAGGAGGAGGAGGAAGGAAGCAGGAAGGAGAAGAAGAAGACGACTTCCTCAATGCTTTTCATTTGCCACCTGCATTTGAGAAGCTGGAATGCTCGCGTCCCTTCAGCCCGGTTTTTAAGCATGACCCTGTCTACGACAATCACACCCACAGTAACAACAGGGCATCGTTATAATAATGTCCTCAATTTTCCCACGGAGCCTCTGAGCTCTTCGCCGTCTCAGAATACAAAACGCTGAGCCCTTCTCTGCAATTATACCAGATGCGTTCTTTTTAAATCCTCCCCCGAGGATACGTTTCTACTGATTCAAGAGAGAGGAAGGGAGAGAGAGAGAAAAACACTGACCGACTGTCTACCACATCCACCCCAACTGGGAAGTAAGCCTGCACCCAGGGCACATGCCCTGACCAGGAGCTGAACCCCCAATCCTCTGGAGTCCCCGAGGACGATCCAGCAAACGGAGCCACCCGCCAGAGCCACCAGATGCAGTGTCAGAAGGGCTCCTGGTCTTGGCGTATTTTACATGGCGGCTACATACTGCTGCCTCACGCAGACTGGCTGGCTGGGCCTGGCTTAGGATGGTTCCAATCGCCTCAACGACCCTCCTCAGTCCAGAAAACCAAATGGCCAACGCTGACCATGTGCTCCCGCCCAACTCGCCATGGGTACAGCGGCTGCCCCCTCCGAGTGTCCGAGGGCAGCTTGTGCGGGGGGGAGGGGGCGCGATCTCCGTACCCCCTCTCCTCTCTCACGGACCTTAGCCCCAGAGCTGGCCCCAGCCCCCGTCATGCGGAGCCCCACCTTAAGAAGGGCCCAGAGCTTGGTTTCATGCCTGCTGCTGCCCTCTTGAAATGCTTAATGATATTTAAACAAGGGCCTTGCTGGAGTCCCCCTCTTCCCTCCCCCCTCCCACTCCCACCCCATCCCGTGGCCAAAGCCTGGGCAGGTGTAATCACCTCCGTTCCCAGTCTACACTGGGTGCTGGGTGGACCTGCCTGAAGCCGGCTTCATTGCTGACTCTTCAACTTGGCTTTGGAACCTCGGATGGCTTCCAAGCAGCCCCCCCCCCCCCCCAATAAAAACCCCGCTCCTTTCTCCGCCTAGCACGTGGGGCCTTCTAGAGACTGGCCCAGCCCGTACCCCAGCCCCACCCTCTCTGCCTCCCCATCTCTCTTTGGTTCTGTCCATGCTGCTGGACCTGGTTCCCATGGAGGACTCTGGGCCCTTGCTCCTCGGCCATGTCTTGCTTTTCTGTCTTTGGGGTACACTGTCCCCATGGCAGCCTGCCGCCACCGCTGACTCTGAATCAGCTCCCCCTCCCTGCAGCTGACACCCCTCCCCTCGACGGCAGCCCTGAGTCTCCATGGGCCAGGCCGAGCTGGATTCCCTCCTGAACAGAGACTTGCTGGGGGGTCCCCAACAATGGAAATACGAACAAGTATTCAAAGTAATGGGGACCCAGAAACGTCCAGAACACCTAGGCTTACAGAAACCTAGTCTGGGGAGGGTGTGGGCATTATTAGCTAGTTAGAATGATGCGGAAAACGGCTTCCGTTGCCTCCCCTGTGTGCACGCAGGCAAAGCTCAGAAACAGGCAGGGGACGAGCCTGCCCCACTGCCCACGCCCTTCGCCCCAGGACGGTCATCTCAGCAGCAAAAGGACCATCTCTCCCCAACCCCCCACCTGGCCAGCTCCTGGCGCTTCACCTCGCCGGCTCTAAAGACGACTCCTGGCTTTCTACGCGGAGGGACAGGGCCGGAGGTGGGAGAGAAGGGAAAACAGCACGGCAGGGAGGATCCAATGACGCAATCTGGCATTTAGACGAGAATCCAAGTCCTCCCGCCTCTGGTCCGTTTTAACATTTTCTTACTTTTTAAGCAGCAGAGGCAGCCACGAAAGGCAGAACGAATGGGAAATCATAATTAACTCCGGGCCGAATCAAAAAGGAGAAAGGATTGGATTTCTTCCCTCCCTCCCCCCCCCCCCCCCAGCCTGGTTCCCAGATTCTGCTAAAAGATGAACGCGACACAGAATCCCGGGGGGAAACGAGCTCTGAACAGCATACACATAAACAAACTCTTCAGCCAAAACGCCACCCCCTACCTGTTGGTCAGCAGCCCTATGAACGGGTTGGTGATGAGCTGGACCGTGGCCTTGGAGGCGAAGAGCAGGCCGACCTGCACGTTCTCGTTCAGGAGGTCCCTGTCAGCGCTGGGACACTCGGAGGGGCCCGCGGACGCGTTGGTGGCCGTGGGCTGCGTGCCGGCCGTGGGCAGCGGCCGCCCCCGGAGGGCCCCGGTGGTGCTCCCGGTGGCCACGGTGGAGTTGTCGTAGTAGGAGAAGATGCTCCGGAAGCCGTCCGAGGGGGAGGCCGTGGGCGCCGGCCGGGCAGTGGGCACTTCAGTTGCGTTCTGCTCGTGCTCGAGGCTGTACAAGTAGCTCGGGATGATGGGGACTGGGGACAAGAGAGAAGGGGAGGGTGGTGACTGCACGGAGACCCTCCCCGGGGCAAACGCCAGAAGCAGGATGGTCACGTCCAATGTCAACGAGACACAGAGAGGTGGTGCGGACACCCCCTCCCCTACTGGCACTGCTCAGCGCCCCAGAGAGAACGACGCCCCAGGAGGCTAGTTCCCTGGGGTTTCTCCGTTCAGGGTTCCACCCCAGGAATACTTTGGGAAAGCAAAATCTGGGCTGAAGTTGAGTCCAGGGTCAGCCACCAGCGCCTCTCAGAAAGAGGCTCCAAAGACCTTTAATTGAATGAATCAAGGAAACAGAAACCTAAATTGCATCGTGTGTCTTAGGAAAAAAATAAAATAAATAAATAAACCTGCAGGAAGTCATCTCTGGCTCTTGGGTGGGAGCCGGCAAGTTTGCATCCTATCAGGGGCACATGAGAATCTCTGAGGCTTTCCGGAGAGAAAGGAAAACCTTTTGTTGTGACAGCAGCAGCTGAGGGCACGTGTGTGACAATAGAACCTTCTACGCAAAGGAGGCGGGGGGGGGGGGGGGGCGGCTGCTGAACCCCCACCCACCTCACACCTCACGGCTCTGATCACCTCAACGCCCGACCACTTGCTGCTCTGAGACTGGAGAGGGGAGAGACCACTCCCACCCCTGTGAGTCGAAATTAAAAAAAAAAAAAAAAAAAAAAAAAATATATATATATATATATATATATATATATATATATATATATACACACACACACACACTTTCTTTTACTCATGGCAAATGTGGAAACTGTGAAGGAAAAGCATGCCAACCACTTGGCTGTTGATGAGGCTAGTTATGAGAGCCGGGTTATTTTGTTTCTTAAAAACCCATTCTAGGAAAAAGGCTGGAAGGAGCACTCTGCAAATGGCTCTCAAAATGGTCCAGAACCGTCTCCATCCTGAGTCATCCAAGGACACAGCAGACTGAACCGCCACTTCCCTTCTCCTTCTCCGAGGGAGGGAGGGGTGTCTGCTTGGCTCCTCGATGCCCCATCACATCGCTAGGCCTCCTTCTCGGGGGCAAAACCAGTCTGACAGCCTTCCTGTGGGCTCTGACAATGGCTAGTCCTTCAAAGAAATCTTCTCTGCGGGCACAGCGGGCAGGCAGGGGGGAGGCTGGGCATTATCGGGAGGAAACACAAGCTCTGGGCCGTGTGGGGCGGCACATTCTGCCCTGACCGCCAGGAAAGCGAAGCCACCAGCGCGGCTCTCTCTCCGTGGCCCGGCGTGGCCGCGCTGGGGGCTGTGTTTTTGCAAAGCGCCTTCCCCAGCTTGCCCAGGTTTCAGTGCTCCGGTGAGTGGGGCGCCCAGGGAAGGGGTGTCGGGTGGGGACTGGGCGGGGGGAGCACAGGGCACACGTACCCACGACGGTGAGCAGCATGTTGTCCAGGAGCAGCGCGAGGAACACGATGAACAGGATGAGCCTCCGGGAGTGGCGGCCGTCCAGCAGCAGGCGGACCAGCGCCCACTCGCTCAGGGCCATGGCTGGGGCTGGGCTGCGGGCAGGGGAGAGGCGAGGGGCTAGGCTGCGGGCAGGGGAGAGGTGAGGGGCTGGGCTGCGGGCAGGGGAGAGGCGAGGGGCTGGGGCTGGGCTGCGGGCAGGGGAGAGGCGAGGGGCTTCGGTGGATGGGGGTTCCCCGCACCGTCCAAGCTCACACCTCCCGGCTGCAGGAAGGGCGGGTCCCGGGCGGGTCTCCAGCGTACCCCCCGGATCCTCAGCCACCCCTGTGCTCGGGGGACCGTCCCCCGCGGCGCCGTCGGGGGCGCCCCCGGATCTCGGGGCGATGCTCCCGGCTCCCCGCCTCCCCGGGGCCCGGCGTCTGCCCAGCGCCCCGGGAAGCGCCGCGGGGGGACGGGGCGCGCGGTGCGCCCTGCGCCCTGGCCGCCCGGATGGAGCCCCGCGCGGCGCTTTGGCGGCTCTCCCTCCCCTGGGCGCCCGCTAACCTCGCCACCCTCTCCACCCTCTCCAGGCGCCCCTCCGCCCCTCCGCTCCTCCCGCGACCCGGAGACCCCGCTGCCCGGAGACCCCGCTGCCCGGCCCCAGCCCCGAGCCCCGCGGACAGGGCGCGGGTCGCCGTTACCTCGCGTCTCCGGCCGCGGTGCGCTCCGTCTGCTCCGTCCGTCCGTCCGGGCGCCTCCGGCCGCCGTCTCCGCCCTCAGAGCCCCGCCGCCGCCGCCCGGGTTAGCGGGTCCGGCCGTGACGTCACGGAGCAGCCGGCGGGGCGGGGGTGGGGGGGCTCCGCCCGCCCAGACCCGCTCCGCCCGCACGTGGCCGCGAGTCCTCCGCTCCCGGCCCGGGGGCGCCGAGGGGACGAGTCGGGGCTCCGGGGGGCGGTCAGAGTCCCTGGGGGAGGAGGGGGGGGTCAGGAGCCAGAGTGTGGAGTCTTGGGTTCATCTGGCCCCAAGGAGGGAGCGGCTGGAGCTGCTGTGGATCCTCACCGGCCGGTCCCCGGAATTGGCCCCAAGGTCATGCAGGCTCCTGGGCGATCCTCATCCCGCTCAGGGAAGGAGGACAGGGTGCTGGGAGCCCTACCGTCCTGGGGAAGCCCCTCGGCACGCCCCCTCCCCCCCTCCCGGCGCCCCACCCCACCCCCACCCCCTCCGCTCCAGCTGGTGCTGGGGAGGCAGGGCGGTTGGGTCCAGAAGATGTGGTACACTTTCACCATGGATGCCACGCTCAGTCGTTCAATAAGATGAAATAGTGCCCTTTGCGACGGTGTGGATGGACCTGCGGGTATCTGTGCTGGGTGGAATAAGGCAGTCGGAAAGGGACAAGCGCCTGATGATTTCATTCGTATGTGGGAAATGCAACAGAGAGCGACAGATCAACAAACCACAACTCACCGCACACCCACCTCAGACAGCAGGATGGTTACCAGAGGAGGAGAGGGGGAGGAAGAGAGTAAAGGGGGTTCAACACCAGGTGAGGGGAGAAGACTGACCTTGGGGTGGTGAGCACCAGGAGGCCATATGGGTGATGTAACCAATATAACCCCATAAGCTTAGCCCCGGGATCCGCAAGCTGCTGTTCGAGAGCCACATGCGGCTCTCTGGCCCCTTGAGTGTGGCTCTTCCACAAAATACCATGGCCCGGGCGAGTCTATGTTAAAGAAGTGGCGTTAGAAGAAGTTTAAGTTTAAAAAATTGGGCTCTCCGTCGGCCTGCAGACTGAAAGGTCCCGGGTTCGATTCTGGTCAAGGGCATGTACCTTGGTTGCGGGCACATCCCCAGTGGAGGGGTGTGCAAGAGGCAGCTGATCAATGATTCTCTCTCATCGATGTTTCTAGCTCTCTGTCCCTCTCTCTTCCTCTCTGTAAAAAATCAATAAAATAAAATAATTAAAAAATGGGGCTCTCAAAAGAGATTTCAATCGTTGTCCTGTTGCTAGTTGGCTCTGTGGACGAATGAGTTTGCCCACCGCTGGCTGAATGGAACAAGAAAAGTAAAAGAAAGCAGCGAGGGGTGGTTGGCAGGAGGAATGCTTGTTTGGGGCTGCTTGGAGCTGTAATGCTCACGGCCACGCGGTAAGGGTCCCTGCAGGTACCACCTGACCTAGGTCCCTGCTAGTGCCCACCTGACCTAGCCCCAGCTTCGGAGGCCCTTCTAGGGGGCAGGCTCGGGGGGAGAGGGAGGTGAGGGGACAGGAGCTGTTTTCTTGGAAAGCCACTGAGGATAAATGCCATCTGGCCTGGCCTCTGAGCGGGGGAGCGGTGTTTTATTCATGTCTGCCTGAGGTGGGCTGCAGGCTGCTCAGCGCGGCCGGGTGGCGGCTCTCCCGCCACCTTGTCCCGGCTTCCTTCCAGACACGCTCTGGGAGGGAGATGGTTGGGTAAGTAGGTCAACAACATGGGGACTCCGTGTCCCAGGATGTGTGCAGTTTGCGTGTCACTCAGGGAGGGGAGAAGGAAGCTCGCGCAGGGGACAGAGCAGAGGGCGGGAGCTAAGACGTCTGTGAAGGGGATCATGCGTGGAGGGCCCCGGCGTGCCCGGAGTCTCGGAACCCAAAGACGCAGGCCCTGCCCCCACGTCCCTGGGCCACGGAGGTACAGCGAACAGTACCTGAGTGAGGGGGTGAGGATGAGAAAAAAGACAGACTAGAAAAGGTGGGGTCGGGAGGACTGAGACCTAAGTCTGCAGTCCCAAGTTCATTCCAAACAGCATATTTAAGCACACACAGCGATCTAGGCAAAAGCAGTAAGTTCCTTGTTCTACTGACTGTTCTTTAACCAGGTCAAGTAAATGTCAAGGCTAGCAATGCCTGCAATCCTTGTGCTACAAGTCAAAACAATTCCTGATAACTGCCAACAGCGGTCGTTTCCCACTGCCTGCTGTGCAGCGAGGGAGGAAAAGAGGGCTGTGTCTCCACAAGGGAGACCCCTGCTTTCAGGGCAGCTCCTCACACAGGCATCCTGGTGAAGGGCTCCAGGCCCAGGTCCCAGCTTACTACTTCCTGGATCAGTGACCTTGGGCAGGTTGTGTCTCCTCTCTGTGCCTTAGTTTCCCCATCTCTGAAATGGGGCTGCTGATTGGACCTATCGCAGTGTTTTGTCTAGGACTAAATGGGAATGCACAGGCACCTCTGGGAGAGGGAGAGCTCAGAAAGTGTCTACCACTCATTCATTCATTCATTCATTCTCTAAATATTGGTTGAGGGCTTCATAGGTGTCAGGTACTATTGATTCTGGGGAGACAGTAGCAGCCAAACAGACAAAAGCCCTGTCCTAGGGGGTGAACAGGTCCCGGTAGCCACACCAGCTCCAGCCTGCACTATGCCCCTCCTCCTGAGCAGTTTTGATTTGCATTCCCATGACAGCTAGTGAAGGCAAGCATCTCTTCGTATGTCAGTTGGCCATTTGTATGTCTGTGATGGGTTTCACACATTTTTGTTCACACCCCTCTAAAAGAATTTTTTAAAAATACAATATATATGGTTTGGCTAACTGGTTTGGCTCAGTGGATGGGGCGTCGGCCTGCGGATTCAAGGGTCCCAGGTTCAATTCCAGTCAGGGGCATGTACGTTGGTTGCGGGCACATCCCCAGTGGGGGGTGTGCAGGAGGCAGCTGGTTGATATTTCTCTCTCATCGATGTTTCTAGCTCTCTATCCCTCTCCCTTCCTCTCTGTAAAAAAAAAAAAAAAAAAAAAAAAAAAAAAAAAAAAAAAAAAAAATCAATAAAAGATTTTTTAAAATATTTAATAAAAAAATATCTATGCCTCCAACCAACCCAATGGGAGAAAATATTTGCAAACAACTATTCCGACAAAGGGTTAATATCCAGAATATATAAAGAACTCACACAACTCAACACAAACAACCCATGTTAAAAGTGGGCACTAGACCTGAACAAACACTTCTCTCAACAGGACATACGAATGGCCAACTGACATACGAAGGATGCTCAACTTCACTGGCTGTCATGGGAATGCAAATCAAAACAGCAATGAGATACCCCTCACACCTGTTAGCGTGGCCACTATCAACCAGACAGATAGTAACAGGTGTTGGAGAAAAAGGAACCCTCACTCACTGCTGGTGGGAATGCAAACCGGCATAGCCGCTATGGAAAAAGTGGCCGTTTCTATTCAGAACATTAAGAATAGAGCTTTGGTTGGTTTTCTCAGTGATTTGGGTGTCGGCCCTCGGACTGAAGGGTCGTGGGTTTAATTGCAACCAAAGGCACATTCCTTGGTTGCGCACAGGATCCCTGAGCCCAGTAGGAGCGCTTGCAGGAGGCAACCAATCCATGGGTCTCTCTCACATCCACGTTTCTCCCTCTGTCTCTCCCCCTCCCTTCCACTCTTTCTAAAAATCAATGGAAAAAAGATTCTCAGGTGAGGATTAAAAAAAAAAAAGAATAGAGTTAACATATGACTCTGCAATCCCTCTTCTGGGTAATTACCTGAAAGATGTGAAAACATTTATTCTCCAAGATACAGCGCCTCTGTTCATTGCAGCATTGGTCACGGCGGCCAAGACGTGGAAACCAAGTGCCCTTCAGTAGCTGACTGGATAAAGAAGGTGAGGTACGTGTACACAACAGGACACTATTCCGTCACATGAGAAATTGAAATGCTGTCATTTGCAACAACATGGATGGACCTCGAGAAGGTTAGGTTATGCAAAATAAGTCACACCAAAAAAAGCCAAGAACCATATGATTTCACTCATATATGGGATATAAAACTGAAACTCATAGACTCGGACAGCAGGATGGTGGTTCCCAGAGAGAAGGGTGGCAGGGGGGAGGGGCAAAGTCTTGAGCAGGAGAGGCGGGAGGGGAGCCCATGCTGCCGCTGAGACCCATGTTGGTCCATCAGAAGCTCGTCTTCCGGAGACTTCCTTCCTCTCAAGGGCAGGTCTTCACAGGGCAGAGTGCGATCTGAGAAGGGATGTGGGACAAGGTGGGAAAGTGGCAATAACCCAAGCGATGGTTTTTTGCTTAGAACTGAGGCATGTGATCAGCTCCACTCTCTGCACCTGAGGCTCCCCACACGGTGCTCTGG